GATGTCTCTCGGGGCCATTGGGAAACTGGATGGCGGGGCGGCTGTAGGTAGGACAGCGGGGGTCTGCGGGCTGGCGGAGGCTCGGGGCGCACCGTGGCGCGGCGGCGAAGATCGGAAGGGTGGTAGGAGATCACTCGTGCTAGATGGGACGGTAAACAGTCAAGCGCGAATGGACGGTAACACAGTCCACCGTGAAGTTGACGGTAACACAGTCAGCAATTTCTGAGATGGTGACGGGTAACGGGGGCTGGCCGTTTGGACAAGGTCAACCGGGTGTATACGAGACGTGCTAAGCTGATCGGAGGGTCAGCGAGATGGCAACGTAAACAATGTCAGGCCGTCACGATAGGAGGTTGTGTGAAAATGCAGCTGTCGTCGACAAATGCAGGTGTCACCGGCTAAGATCGGAGGCGCTACTGAACTGTAAGGTGCCAACTACTCGAGGTCACCTGCTGATGAGCAGTTGGAGCATTGGGCAGAGATGCACGATGCCTCGTACTGGACACGCTCTACCTGCTGGCTCTTATAGATTCGGGGCTGTCCCATGGTGTGCTTAACTACTATCTTATTGGCAGACGGTGTGTGAATGTGGAGACGAGTGTTGAAGTCGTCGAATATGTAGCCGCAGGGGAACTGGTAGCGATACAAACATGCTTTGATATCTTTGAATTCACTAGAGTAGTGATATGCTTTCACTGGGATTTGTGATGCTGATATCAGAGTGTTATTTTTGCAATAACTCGTATCGGTTCGATAGGTCATATTTTAAGGGAAATTGTAATAGAAAGATTGTCAAGGGAAGTAAAATCTTCTAAGCATTTCACTGAGATATAGAATTCAACATTAATATTAGTTGATTGGCGTTAATATATTTTTATGACCTTACCATGAAACATTGCAAGTTATTCCAACAAACAAACGGTCACTTATTCAATTAGGTAGCAAAGTAGATTAACTAACATCTTCCAGTGTTCGTCCAAGTCAAGTATTCGACGAAAACACGATGCGACACTGCTTTTAACTTGTACGGCGCGACATTAATCTCGTAACTACTGGGGTGTCCTTGGAGCACGGGTATGTGTGCAAATATATTAACGCCAATAACTATATATGAGTTAATTTATATCTCAGTAAATGTTAAAGATTTTACTTCCCTTGACATTTTTCTATTACAATTTTCCTAAAATATGAAAGCCTACTCGACCATACGAGTTATATCTGGCAAGAATAACACTCTATCAGCACCAACAATCCCAGTGAAAGCTATCACTCTTTCTTGAATTCAAAATCAACAGTGTTGTGTTCGCGGCCTCATAAAATTCCGACGACTTTCAAACACTCGATATCCTCCGCCATAAAAAAACACAGCGGCAGCCCGTAGAAGACTCTCATAGAGCGACGAGCATCGTGCGGCCCAATGCTGCCCAACTGTTGCATCAAGCCAGTATGATTGCACCTGTGTGCGGTTATGTGACGACAGTCTGCCATTTCAAACTTCGACCGCGCCCGTCAGTCGACGCGCCGCCGGTTTCCACGGCCGCCGCCGCCCAAAACCGTGACGAGTGGCTCGTGTGGGCGCGTCGGTGCTGGCCGGACATGCGTTCCGAAGCCCTCGCCGGCACGGCGCGCAAGGGACGCAATATGTTTGGCCGCGCGACCGCAGCGGAAACTTCGTCGCAAGCTCATCACAGGAGGGGCGGGCGGGGCGGGGCGGGGCGGCATGGACGGGCAAGAGGGCCGGAGCCGTAACGGAGCGGGCGGGGCGGGGCGGAATGGGCGAGCGGGCGGCAGGGCGGGAGGGTGAGTAGGGAGCGGGACGGGCGGGGCGGGGCGGAGCGGAGCGGAGCGTGGTGTAGTGGGGCGGCGCGGAGCGGGGTGGGGTGGGGAGGAGTGCCGTGCGCAGCGTTGTGGTTGTATGTGTGGGGGGGGAATGGGAGGAGAGCTTGCTACGGAATGGGTGAATGGGCTCGTGGTTGCTAGTATGAGTTCGAAAAGGCTGGGCCTGTCAATAAGGACGAGTGTGCTGAGGATGACGGGACTGGATAGCGAAAATGGAGTGTGGGAGCTTTAGGTTGAGGCGTTGGGGTGGGACGGTAGGATAGAAGCGCTGAGATGGCGGCGTTGGGTGGGAGTATTGGGATAGTGGCGTTGTGAAAGTAACGTTGGGATAGCGGCTTTGGGACGGCGGCATTGGAATAGCGACGATGAAATGGGGGCCTTGGGGTAGCGGTGTTGGGGTTGAGGAGTTGAGGTAATTGTGTTGGGGTAGTGGTGTTCGGATAGCAGCGTTCGGATAGCGGCGTTCGGACAGGGGTGTAGGGATCAGAATTGACAATAGTGAAATGAGAGGCAGTAGACTGTAGAACGTTGAGATGACCTTCAGGTTAGTTTACCACTAATTCGACTGGCTTGACTGATATCCAGTGATGAAACCAAACGCACACTGACCGTTTCTCTAAGAATCTTCTTCTGATGACCAGAACTGGTGAAGTAAAATTGCCTTTATTCTACAGGGTTAATCCTGAAGTCCAAACTTGCATTGGAAGTGACTTAGAATTCCTTATTACACAGAGGAACAGTATCCAGAAGGACATTTGTTGCTATGGATTTCAAAAAATCAGTTATCAAATATGAGTCACGTCAAAAGCACAAATATTGAGGAAACCTACACTCTTAAGTCTACCACAAATTCTCATAAATGCGTTGGGCTCTACAGGCATTCTCTGGAGCCCAACATTGCACGGGAACCCTCCTCGAAATCGAAACAGTTGGCCGCGGAGAGGCAGAGCGGGAGGATGGGAGAGCAGCGGCGGCGTGGGTGTCCTCGAATATTTCAAAATTATTTACGTCCGGGGGAGGGGAGGGGCTGACCGCGAGCGGCGCGGCGCGTTCGTCACACGTGCGCGACGTTAACGCGCGTTAGTGCG